TCTATGTTAAGCCGCTTCCAAATGGCAGGGTTAAAAATGAAAAAGTCAAAATGCCACTTAGGAGTGCCTAGCGTGGAATTCTTGGGGTTCCAAATCGACGCAAATGGTGTTCACCCTACTACGGGAAAGGTACGGGTCATTCAAAACGCCCCGAGGCGTGAATCCAAGAAGGAACTGCAATCCTTCTTGGGAATATTGAATATTGAAGCAGTGACAGAATTTGATGCAAGTGAGAGTGAAGTCACATGGGCAACAAGCAAGTAAATGATAGGAGCCCGGTTTTTAAAAGCTGGGAAATAATAGACCCACAGTGGTCTCGAAACTACTGCAATGTTTCAATGTAATGCATTTAAGAGTTCTGTTTTATACATCCTAGACCATGGGTGTCGAACTCATTTGTTATGAGGGCCGGATCTGACATAAATGAGACCTTGTTGGGCCAGGACATGTGTGTCTTAAAAGGTGATGCCAGGTAGCAGAGATATAAACTTTATAAAGGACACAAACACAAAGGGTTTTTTTTTACTCAAAATAAAAACATGCTTAAAACATTAGCACTCTGGCAATATTTTGTTTATTTAACAGTGTCTGCTAACTGACACCTCTTGCTCAGAATTATTGCATCAAAATGTCTGTGCTGTTGCAATCTTGAGTATGCCGTTCAGGTGTGTATCTGTAAGCTGCAAACCTACGATATCGCAGCAGCAGCAGAATTGGAAGAAGAAGCAGAAGACAGCCAGTTCTACTGCAGTCCTGATAGAAGCCCTCTAGGGGCCTGATACAGCCCCCAGGCTGCATGTTTGACACCCCTATCCTAGACTTATCTTGAACAATCTACAAACTAGGACTCCCAGCTCTCACTTAGGTCTAAGCCTGGTGGTCATCGACTCTTTTTTCTTTTTCTGCTGTGCTCTGTAGGCAAATTCCTGTATATATTGGCCTGAATCCTAAATATGTTTTCCGCTGTCAAAAGGCTCACTTCCGCAAGAGGAAAAGGAGGGGGATAATTTCCCGCCAATTTCCTGCTTTGTTCTCCATAGTGCAGCTGAGGGTCTACTGACACATTCTCCCCAGGGCATAATTCCCAAGGGCAGGCTGCAGTGGGGGACAGGCAGCATGGAAAGTTTACTTTGTCAGAAATTTGAAACCTGGGGTATAATTTTTACAAAAATATATACATAGTGTGTATTTAGCTTTAAGAGAGAGGTTTACAATAATGGCTACAGAACATTTCCCTTGCTAGGTGGGTATAAAGGCTGAGGCTGATGCATTGAGGAGTGATTTCAGCTCATACTTTATTAGGTTACAGGGTATCTGGAGATGCTTAGTGTACTGGAGTCCCATAGGTCCCTTTTCGGATCCTAGCCCTCTGATAGGTGTGTGCTAGGATCCATTCGGGCTATTGTCTCTATGAGCTAAGCTAGGGCCCTTCGCATGGCCACGTGCGGACCCGACCGCATGTGCGGTCGTACTCGTTAAACAACAGTGGGAAAGCCACAAGTCCTAGTTTGAGATCCAGTTTGGTGTAGTGGTTAGAAGCAGTGTTCCCTCTAAGCTGAGTTAGTCTGAGCTAGCTCACAGTTTTTCAGCCTCCAGCTCACAGATTTCTGTCTTAGCTCAGGAAGGATGGCTCCAGAGTAGACTAATTTATGCAGGAGTCAAATTGCTCACTCACAGCTTTAATGCTAGTAGCTCACAAAGTAGAATTTCTGCTCACAAGACTCCACAGCTTAGAGGGAGCATTGGTTAGAAGTGTGGACTCTAATCTGGGAGAACCAGGTTTGAGTCCCCACTCCTCCACATGCAGCTGCCGATGTGACCTTGGATCAGTCATGGCTCTCTCAGAGCTATTCTCTCAGGAGCAATTCTCTCAGAGCTCTCTCAGCCCCACCTACCTCACAGGGTGTCTGTTGTGGGGAGCAGAAGGGAAGGATATGGTAAGCCATTCTGAGACTCCTTCGGGTTGTGAAGGGCAGGATATAAATCCAATCTCCTCCTCCTCTTCTTCTTCTAGGGAAACTGCAAAGAAACTAGTGAAAAAAAATGAGTAATTTCTTCATAGACCTCCAACTTCTAAAACTCCACCCCCCTGCCGAGGCACCTCTGTATGTTACTGTCTGTAGAGCTTTATGCTTGCTAAAAATGGAGCTGTTCCAAAAATTATCACTTGCCTCCTTTAGGCACATCCTGCCATGCTAGCAGTTATTGCAGCTCAGGGGGCTTTTCCCTGGATGCTTTAAGCACGAGAAGAATGGTGTTGATCTTATATATATATATATTTA